TCCCACTCAGCTCCCGCTGAGGACCATTTCCAGCCGTGTGCCCTGCTCGTCTTGCATGCGTGTTGGGGTTGGCGGGGCGCACTGTGCTGTGCGTGGCTGTGAAATCTCCACTCCGGCGGGACAAATCCGAGGCTATGCTTTCCGGACACGGAATTAATAATAGTAATAGTAATAGTAATAGTAATAGTAATAGTAATAGTAATAGTAATAATCTGAACTTCCCCCCAAAAAAGCCATCTTCACATCTTTTTCCTAAACTTTTTTTTCCAAAAGTGTCGCCCTTGCCAGGGCCGTTTTGGAAGATATATCTCTTTTCCAAGCAGGAGATGTCCTCGCAGAGCCCAAGGCAACCCCGCTTCTCGGACACCTTCTCCAGCCTAATAATCACGGAGACCTGAAACTTGCCGTCCGAGCTGAGTGAGGAGGCGGCGGCYTTTGTCCGCGGGAGATTATCTCAGCTGGAGGCGTGAGAGCCATTAATTAAGGCAGCTCTTTAGGATTTTAATGCGATTTAAATTGGTCCTTGGAAGAGAAAAGAAAAAAAAAAAAAAAAAGGGGGGGGGGATAAAAAAAGACTACAGTGCTAATGACAGTGCATTAAGACCCAAACATAGGGATGGGCTATTACCAGAGTCCCGAGGCTCTTGCAGGTCTCAGAAGAGCTGAGGAAAAGGAAAGTGAAGAAGAACGAAAGAGAGGCCGTCAGAAGGGACCTGGTGCTCCRCAGGGAATTGATCACAAGAGAGTGGATGTAACCCTTGCACCCTGCTCACCTTTGGAAGCCTTGGCAAAACAACAGGGAAAGGAGCAGAGTACCCGTCCTCTATTTCCTCCCTACCACCTGTGTCCAGAACTGTCCTGGAGAGTGATGCAAAACCTTGCCCAGAGGCAAGGAGGTCCTAGGAGGCCAGGGTCTTAATGACTGACTCATCAGGAAGAAGTTTAGGGTCCTCAAATTAAAATTTCAAACTGAGGAACAGAACCAACGGTCAGTGAATTCCTTTCAAAAGAGAGGAGCTACTATGAGTACCTAAAAAAAAAAAAAAAAAAAAAAAAAAAAAAAAAAAAAAAAAGATACTAGAAAGGGGAGCGTCTTTCCCCGAATTTTATTGGAAGACTTTATGGTG